ATGCTCCCCAGCAGTCTGAAACTTTGCACACGCCTTTTCCATCATTTAAGGAATACGTAAAAAAAAGAAAAAAATGGCTGCTTTTTTTCCAACCCTTCGGGCTCGCCCGATTATCTTTAACCGTTTGACCACTTCGCTACTGAATTCACTTGGGGCAAACAAATAGTGAATAATATGAATACTAAAATTCCGTAAAATACCAGTATCTACTGCCCGAATTGACTGTTTTCTGATTGGACATTCGTACACTTCGATCTGAGAAATCGTCTAACTATGGACAAATTTCAAAAACACTCATCTCAGAACCGCCATCTTTATGAAGAATACATAAATCGAATGCCAAAAACGTTTACGTATTATACCGGCCCAACCCTGGTTTTCAGACTGCAATTTTGCGTTCAATATTTATTTATACCAATCATTACAAAAAATTCTATAATTTGAACGGAAATATAACAGTGGAATAATGAGCATGATGTGATCGTCCCATAAATGAAGTATGATTGTCCCATAGTGATGAAATGTTATACGTTCTCCGTTTACACAAAAAATGATATGAAAGTAAAAAAAAAGACCATGAACATATTCATATATTCAAGGGGACAGATAAGAGCTGTCGCTAGCATTCCCATTTTCCCCTGTCTTGAAGTAACCAATGATATTTTTGAGTTTTTTCTTCTCCTTTCTAGCGAGTGCAGCGATGACGTTTGGGTCTGTCGTATATTTGTGATAATTCGGAAGGAGAATTTTGTTGAAGTGCTGCTGTAGACCACTGGCGTTACGCGGTGGATTTTGGAAATCCTGAAATAATAATAAATTCACAATAATGCATATGAATGATTTGGTAATTTTTTATTTCATAATTTAAGTGAAATTGTGTCTAAATATAAGGTAAAACCTTTTCAATCATTTTTTTCATTTACAGAATTATTCTAGAGTGATTCGTTGTAAATGCATTGATCGTAAAACTTCAATTAATTTCATAATTTTTTTTAATGTTTGAAATATCCATCTTCACCAGTACCCACGACTGTGGCTATATTCAAATATTTAATAAAAGTTGAGAATAGGGAATAAAAAAAAACGCTGTGCATTAACATTTTGGGGTTAAAACGTACCTCCGATGCTGCTATCTTCTCCCAAACGTAACCACAACCAGTGTCAGAAAGCAGATTATGATCAGCAAGGTATTGCAAGATTCTCTTATTCTCCTCGTAAGAATAAAAAAATCTCGGTTTTGAAGGCCTAAGGTAGAACAAATGGGAATATTATTGAGAATATATTCATCAAAAAGAAAATTTTTAGCTGAAATCACGAAGAAAATCCTACATTTAACTACACGAAACACTCAGATTTACTCTCTAGATTCCTATGAAATTTGGAATCCCAATTAGTTTTTATTTCAAATTCTTGTTCTTCTTATTTTCCCTCATTCTGGAATGAATGACAAATCACAAATACTGAAAATTGAAAAAATGTTCACTCCATTGTTCATTGTTCAAGAAAATAGATGCATTATGTCCAAACTGAGAGAAATAATATTTCAAAAATATCAAGACACCATTTTCCTGTTTCTCAATTTTCTGTACTTCCCTTCAAACTTTAAATGTGGCCATTTTATTCCCGATACCCCTAATGCATTTAGTATTACGAATGAAATTCTCTTACTTTTTCATCTTATCAGGTTTTTCCTCCCTTGGTGAATGTGCCTTCTCCTTTGGAGGATTCGTCTCCCCAATAGGATCAGATTCATTGTGCGTTTCAGATTCACAGTTTACCTCTTCGTCACTGAAATCGGTATCCAAAAGAACCTCTACGATGGGTTTTTCCCCTCCTTCATTCGTCGAGTCATCGATCATTTCTGGAGATGTAGAACCCCCAGATTTACCAAGAGAATTGAAACCATTCGGAGGACCTTCAATTACTTCGAACGATCGGTGGCCCTCCACCTCCTGCTCAAATGAAGAATGACTGCTGTCGATACAGGACTTCTTCTTCTTCCTCTTCCTTTTCTCTTGGTTTTCCCCTAAAGCATTCCCTGGGCCAGTGGAATAAGCTCGTTTCTTTTTTTCTTGCTTCTTAATCTTCTTCTTCTCCTGGAGAATCCAAGATTTTCAGAACTTACGAAAAAACAAACTTGATATCTTTAATAGTAACTGAACCTTTACCTTGTTCTCTTTGGACAACTCCTCAGGAGCTGTTCCTTGTGACCCACCCATTGATTTATCCCCTTCAGTTCGATTCATTTTACGGACATTAGGTGATACATTCTCCTCGATATCAGAGGGCTCAGACTGCTCAAGACTGGGGGCACTCGCACTCAAATGTTTAGTATACGATTTTTGCTCTGACAAAGTGCTTGTGCAATTGTCGTGGTATATGCTCGTGGAGGATTTTGGTGGAGAAGTTGTTATTGAGTTGAACTTCTTCTGCTCAAAGACTTCAGTCTTTGGTGAAGAAGTTGTTAGTGAGTTTAACTTCTTCTTTTCAAAGACTGCAGTCTTTTCCTGTGCGAATGATGGGGGAGTGATCGCTTTGGATGTATCGTGCGCTTGTTTTGGCAATCTATAAGAATAATGAAAATTTCAGAGATGGAGGATGTGTGATGATTAGCGCTGTGCAGAATTACGTCATATGACCGTCATATAGCAGGTGTAAATATGAAAATTTTGTCCATTATACAGAGAAAATTATGATGGCATTACTATATGACTGTCATATTTCAAGTAAAAGATGGCCTACTACGAAATTTGTGGAGGCCTACTGTATCACTGACACGGTTGGGTATGCTTGACACCTCAGGTATCTCTTCTAAATTTAAAGTAGTATAACCATAACTTGAATTTTGAAAATTAAAATTTGAGATAAATTGTAAACGAAAATTAATATGAATAAAAGAATTCTGGTTGTGTTTGTGCTGAATCGGCAGTCTAGTATCATTGATAATAATTAATCTAGGAGTACTAAAATAACAGTCTTATGAGAAAATAAACCTTTTTTAGTTTGTCTTGAACGGATTGATCATTTACAAGTTTAAATTCTACAATGTTGAATTTAAATTCCACAAAATGTAATTCGATTCTTATATTACAACTTAATGGAATTCAATACGTATATCGTACATTAAGAATCTGGAAATTAGAATTTCTATAGACAAGGTTTTGATGAAAGACATCATATGTGTCAAAAAAATGAATAGATTCCATTGAATGTAACAGGTGATTTTGTAAAAAAAATGCTATATTGATGTTCGGGGCCATTCAAGAATTACGTTGGTAGGTTTTCCAGCAATGCTGGCCTGTCCTTATCTCAGCATTTTCTTGCACTGACTTACAAACCGCAGTCAGAATTCTTTCACCCATCTGTGCTAACGCAATATTTGAATGAAAGAATTAAAGTATGTCTTTGTGTCACATGACCTAATTATTAAAATTATGATCTCATTCAAACCTCTAGTGATGACGGGAATTCTTCAAAACTTACAAATATTTGCCAATGTCCTGCAGTTTGCTCTCTCTTATGCTATCATATAACCAGTTAACGTGAAATCGTGGGGAGTTTTTGATATCTGAAGGTTGCTCTGGCTTCGAAAGGATGATAGTTTCGTCGTCCGGCGACATCACGATTCCTCCATGGTTCTGTACAGAAGTTTTAGAATGACGACGTCATGAAATCAATCAAGAGGACTAACATGGTACGATAATGATTCTTGCATTCAAAACTCCCGCTCAAAACAATGAGAACTATCCGGAGTCTTCTTTTGCTACTCACTTTGATATTTTCTCATTGAGAAAGTTCAATGTTTCGTAGAATTTACAAAATTATCGAAAGACTTTGGGGTAAAAAACCAAGCCGCAAACTTGCGAAATGCGTCTGCAAGTATGACAGCCTGACTAATATGCAAGATACTGCAATTAGTCTGCAAGACTTTTCGGTATCTTGCAGACACAACATAACTTTTATAGTCCGTTTCACAGACTGAGTGACAGAAATTAACTATGGGGGACCTTCTCTACACAGATAACTTTTTTCGCCCCGCTTGAAAGATTCTTCAGACAAAAGTGAATAATTTGCAAAATAATTCCATCAAATTTGGTGCAATCAATTGTTCATTCCACAAATTTTCATTGATCGCTAATTGTGACTACTAAATGAGATATTCTGGAAACTCTTTACTGCTGTCAGTAGAATGATCCAATCGACCACAATCGTTGGGAGGTTTGTGCCAAGAGTTTTCTGCAAGAGTCAAATTTGGATGTCGAGCATGAGAGTCAAGTGTGAGCGTTCAGCGTAGGAGTCAGGCATAAGGCTCAAGCACAAGATAAAGCATAAGGGTCTAGCAGGAGATTCAAGCCAAAGGGCCAGTTTTTTGGTTAAGTTAACCACGGTTAAAAGCCCTCCCACTACCGAGTTCAACCAATCAGAGATCTTAACCTTCACTTTAATCGAGGTTTTAACGCTGGTTAAGTTAACCAAATACTGGCCCTAAGGAGATTGGTCCATCGGAGAAGAATCAATGAAGCTAAAACTGATTGAATATTTGCCAGCGGAAGATTCAATTTACGAAACTTTTAAGGGTGTGAAAGCCAAAAAATCATATGTACAATTTTTTTGATGCGAAAGAGTTTGTACATGACTTCAAAATATTTGTATACCCCTAGACTCGCCTAAATGGAATTTTCCATTGGCGAATCTTTCGCTAGTTTCAGCTTCATGAAGAATCAAACGAATTCTGACCATTCCTCGTTCAGATCTTCTTCATTTGGCCATTCTCCATCAATTCTCATTTGATTCTTCCTCATCCAAAATCGTTGGGTGATACGTACCACGTAGGGAGGGGGGAGAGGTACCAGAATTCTGTTTCTTACATGCAGAGAGATTTTAAACAGCCCAAAACACATTTATGTAATATACATAGACAGCCTCGTATACAAAATATAACAATAAAAGAACTTACACTGATAAGATTTGTCAACTTGAGGAATTCATGGGGGGCGAAGCCATCGAGGTAGAATTTACCTTGACGTCCTTCCATATTTAATAATTTCTGACTTTGAGAGCCAATAATGTCCATTTTGACCAGTCTCACTTCACAAATCTTGAACATGACGACTATTGAGTTTGTTTTGAGACACAAATTACAGATAGACTCTTTCAAAGACGAGGTCTATTCTATTTGGGCTCTTTGTTGTGTAACACAATCTGTGTTCTTCTCAACTGTTTGGAATGTGCGGGAAACACAATTGATGCTTGTTATATTAACAAAGCCAAAATAAGAGTTCTGAGGAGTAAATTTTTGAGCCCAGTTGATTGAACTATGACTAAACAACTGTTTTCAATTGTCAGAATCTGCTATCTATCACGGGGAATGTACTAATATCGATTACTGTATTTCGTCACATGTGATTGCTATTTATCAAACTATAGCATAATGAAATTCTTCAAAATTAAAGGCGTATCTAGATAAATCACAATAGACAGACTGCTTGAAGGTTATGTTGGTGAATTTGCATTGCGCCGGTCAGACATGCGCACACAATTCTGACCGAAACATTCATTTGTTTTTAGGTGAGGGGGACGGAATTGTCATGTATTTTTTCTTGGTTTTCAGTAAAAACTCCACGGCGAACACAGCCACAAGACATTTTAGTCAGTACCATAAAAATAGAAGAAGAATCTCCAAGATAGAATATTACCACTTGGAATATTCTGCAAGAAGGAATACCGGGATTCTCCAAGAAAGGGCTCGAGGTCAGATGTCCCGAGTTCTCCAAGCAAACAAGGGCTTGAGGCCATATTGGGGGAGCATCCTTTGTACTTTTATCCTTATTTACTGTTGCTGGAGTAGGGGTTCGAATAGTGAGCATTTACATACAACTAGCCTCCCTCCGCAGGATTGTAAGACAAGGAAGGTTTGGGACCGGTTTTTTCTATGTGTGTTGCACAGGAACAGGGATGGGCGATGTTTGTTGATTAATCGAAAACGTCGATTTTTCATGCCCAAACATCAATATTTTTGAATAAACAAATAGAATTTTCCATTTTTTTATCGAATAATAATGTTGATTCATTAAGAATAAAAAAATCATAATTTATCCGCAATCAGAAGTAATTATTTTCTAGAGTATATGAATGTTATAAATGGTAAGTGGACAAGTTCAATCCTCTGTTTTTTTAATTTAAATTTTAAGATTCTTTTAATTTAAATTTTTCAGCCTTTCTTGCGGCTAACGTCCAGCCATGGAAAATATTCAATATATTTTTTTCAATTAATAAACAACCCTGTTTCGAGGTTCAAAATTTAACTCTCCAGTAGTACTGATCATTGAAACGTAAGTTCCTTGGGTTGTATGTTTTAAATATATAATTTTCGATAAAAACGAGAAGAAAATAAATTGTTTTAAACAATTTGTTTTTTCTCCTGAGTGATAAGAAAAACATCGATGTATTAAATAATTGATGGTTTTTTTTCCTGAAACATCGGTTCACAATATCGATGTTTTTGGAAAACATTAATTCTTCGATAATCGATGTTTTTTAAAACATCGCCCATTCCTACACAGGGAATGTAGAGGAATGCGCGGTTTAGATATAATACGTCCATGGAGAATAGAGACCAGGGCTGGAATTGACCGTTTCATTCTGTAAATATAGGGGAAATATTTATTCCGTTCATCGAACTAAAAAATCTCCAGAGAAATATTAAAAAATTCTAATAAATATTAACATTTAAGATGATATATATTTGACCCCTCAAAATGGTGATTTATATGTTAATTCGGTAAAAGTGTCCGAAACTCCCAGGGGAATGAACGTGGGAAAGAAGCATCTGAAAATCTAGTGGCTCTTAGGATGAAAAGGTCTATTCTGCACGTTCAGGGTACCCTAAAAACCTTAAATTTCAACGAATCAGAGCCACGCATCCAGAATCTCTGCATTACCGATCCAAAAGCATGCGTCTGATTGGTTGAAATTCAAGGTTTTTAGGGTAACCTAACGTGCAGAATGCCAGCCCAGGAGGCCGAATTTTGGTTACGAAAATGCGCCTGAAACCTAGTTACGAACAACTCGATTGCGCTACGATCTGTATATTGTCGTAAGATATGATAGAGGAAGGTAATCTAAACAGATTCATAATGTGTTTTTGCTTCTGAGTGGAAGCATTGTAATCCTTATAATCTCTGTTGTAATCCTCAAAATTCAAGTTTCCAGTTCTTTGTGTTAGGATAACTAATTTTGGGCTTAGGAATTAGAATATGATGTTTACAGAGTAGGTCCGTATGCATGCATGCATGTGTGTGTGCATGTATGTATGCGACCGATTCAGTTTTGCCACGATTAAAAAAAAAAATTTGACTGAATGGATTGAATCTGAACTAGAAATATTCGTTTTCATGTTATACAGACCGAGTTCGAAGATGTTACCAGGGTTGGGCAAGTAAATTACCTTAGGTAAATTACATGGTTTTTG